TCAATTATGTTATTTCCAGATGTCCAAGTGGTGAAAAGACTCTGTAATTTTAAACTAATACAACCTTCACAGAACCTGTCAGAATATTTTATCAATTTACACTTGTTACATTCTTTTGGTTTGCCTTTTTCTTTCATTACATTCTCTAATTCAAAATTATAAATAAACCTTTCTTTACAAAATTCTTTTTCATTTTCAGAAAGCTTTTCGTTTCTTTTGACCAATGAAAAAAAATAATCTTCTATACTTTCTCTACCACGATTAACAAGAGCATTATTATGTGTTTCATTATAAATCTTATATACAAAATCCTTTCTTTCTGGTGATAATGATGATAATAGTTTAACATATGACATTATATAAAAGTATAAATATATGGTGTTTTTATTAGAGTGGAAAGAATAAAGAAAGGTTACCGTGTTACGGTTCCTTTTTAAATGTTGTAATTTTAATTTTGTGTAAATTTTTATATTTTGTGCAATATTTTTCCCTCTTTTCCTTTCCCCAAAGGGAAATATTCTGTTGTAAAGACTTATTAATATTAAGACTTGAAATGGTAAATTCAGTGCAGTTACGAATTTTCCAAATATTTTGCTACTCAACTCTAAACTGAATTGTTGAGGAAGGATGAGATCAAGTCGTTTTTTCTTTTTTTTCTGCGTTGGCTTACAAATTGATTGTTAAAATTGAAAAGATATTTTTGATTTCCAAAAATGGTATCATGCAAATTCCAATTGCTATTTATTTTTGTTCAAAACGTCAGGGTTGAGCGAAATAGATACTTGACTGAAAGGAAATTGTGTTTCGTTTTAGATGTTTTTTTTGCATGGTGTCTATCGTTGATTTCCATTAGGTTTTTGTATTGCTCTGACGTTTCGGACCGTTCAAAATGACCAAAACTCATGGCCTTGACTTGGAGCCTTTACCTCAGATTCCGACTTGACACACAACGTGTAATTAGTATATTTTCGGGTCACGAGACCGGGATTCAAAAACACTTTTTTACATTTACTTTATTGCTATTGTTACTATCAGTCAATTTAATTATCGATAAACAAACAATATGTACAAAATTTTTTTTAATTGTTTGCGTTGAACTAAAAAAAATATTTTATTTTATTTTGACCATTTGAGAGAGGAAAATTTATTTGTTAATTTCCTTTCGGAGAAAATAAACAAAATCAATTGATTAATCTTTGCAACTTTTGATGTTTGCATGAAGCTTAGCGATAGACTTGGGGGGAATCCAATTGACATATTGACCTTTAATCAGGACAAAAAGATCTTTTTTTTTTAATTAAGAAAAAAAACCCGAGTAGTTGATTTTTTTTTTAACAATCGAAATTTGTAAATAACTTTTGATCACATGAGGGCTCTTCTTTGCAAAAGATCTTTTATTAATTTTACTAAATTCGTGAACGATTCCCTTTGTATATGTAATTTTTTTAAATAAATAAATACCAATAGTATCTATTATCATTTTTAAAAAATCATGATTACCAATATAATGGCTCAATGATAAAATTTGAAGGTTAATAGACTAGCCAAATTCTCATTAATAAAATCACTATCATCATGCTAGAAAATATTTATTAAGGGAGAGTTTAACGATTCGAAATTTTTGTGTTTACATACTTGTCTAATTCCAGTAATATCTTCGAGTTTGATTAAATGCATTTTTACATTACAACTTGAACTTGAAATAATATTTCTATTATTATGATCATTATTACTATCGATAATTTTAAGTCGGGCTCCTTCATCTGTAAAAATTGAGCTATCCAACCGGTGCTAAACTTGCTTCAATTGTTAAATTTAACGTCAGATTCTCCACTACTGTACTGTGTGATAAGTTTAAACTTGTTTGTCCAGTGATATTTCCTTTATCATTTTTGTCACCTTTAAATCATTTTCAACATTTACAGTTGCTTGAATGCATGTATTATAAAGCTTGTCCTTCCGATAGAACCAAAACCATCTAATTTCATCTGGACAAACTACGCACTCATTCGACATGTTTTGTGAGAACCCCCTGTGAGATCTATATTTTTTTACAGCATATTCTGCTAATTTTCCACTAATTCCTTTCTATAAAGAAAAGTCCATATAGCGTCAACACTTTCTTGAAAATTTTCTAATCGTCACTAAAGATACTGGCTCAAGACTCTCGAGTACCACTTTTAGTAATCCTTGCCAAGAATGATCACAATTTTCACACAATGTCTACCCCAATATCTCCCAATGAAGTTCATTCAACTCACAATGGAACTCAATGGAACTTGAGAGAAAAAAATACATTTATGACCTGATTTCATAATTAATCCTTCAATTCCTCTCATTTGTTCATCAATTAATTAATATAATAATAACTAAAGATTTAATATTAATTATTAAAATCGCGGCAAGTAATTCATTCATTTATTGGTAAGAATTTCTCACATGATAAAAAAGGTGGAATGATCGGCAGTTGATTCATTACGAAAAAGAAAAACACAAAATATTATAAAAACCTGTAAGCTCCGATCAAATAGTTGGAAAAAATCATCAATCACTTGACCATTACTGGCAAAAATTGCGCCTATCTACAAATTTGGATTCCAGTTATAAAGATCTAATGTCAAAATAATGAGCTAAAAAGAAAACTGTAAATCAACCAACTTTCAAATTAAAGAATCACTCGAATCATCATCAATTAAAAAGCAAACATTTACAATAAAGAAGATGCAATTTTTAATACACTTTTTGGAACTGAAATCAACAAAAAAAAAAAAGTAAATGGGGTTGAGCCCAATACTCCCTTTTAAGTGGTGGAATGAGAATAAACAGAGATTTCCTGTGTTAGCAATATTAGCGCGTAAATAATCCAGCCACTTAAGTCCCCAGAGAGTGGCTTTTTTCGGATTCTGGAAATCATATAACAAGTAAACGCACAAAACTTAAACCAGAGAGATTCTTTTTGTAAAAAGAAATTCAAACTATGTGGATATATTTACATTGCTTGACAATGAGTTGAAACGTTATTTTAAATGAAGTACTAACATTTTTAATAAATCTAAATTTATTGTGAAGGCATTCCAAAATTTTCAAATGTAATGCAATAATGGAGATTTTAGCATGTCTCATTTCATATACAGACATAGGGATGTCAATTTGCATAATTAAACTGGGTTTAAACACAAATTCAATTTAATATTTTTAATATTCGCTCGGAACGCGCTTCAATTTTTGTTTGAAGCATGTGCTCAAGAAAATTAACGAATAAATATTAAATGAGACAAATCTGAAGCTAACTAAACCCGTTTGAATAATTTAGCTCTAAATAGCATTAGTATTATATTTAGAATTTATTAAAAATTAGAATTTTTATTACATATTTTTTTTTATTGTTTTACATAAAAAATAATAATTAATGAGTAGTATGCTCCCTGATTAGCCGCTACAAGCCAAACAATTTTCTTGATTATTGAGTGAACAAGAAATTAGATTTGAAGCTAGTAATTTGTCATCACTGTTTTTATATTCTTCATCAGCTGCTTTTGATTCTTTTAATGCTGTTTGATCAACAGTGAACTATTAAAAAAAATGCAATGTGTATAAGTTTTAATATTAATTAGTCAACTGACTGTTATTGTTTGTTTTTTATTATTACCTTAATTGCATCAGCAGCTGGCTTTGTTCTAAGGTAATACATTCCAGTTTTTAATCCTTTCTTCCATCCATAACTAAAATCAATAATAACGATTTTTATTAAAAACCCAAATACATAATTATCATAATATATCATTTTTTACTACTTACAAGTGCATGCTTGTTAGTTTAGCAATAGTTGGTTCGGCAATATGAATATTTAAACTTTGAGATTGATCAATGAAAGCACCACGATCAGCTGCCATATCAATGATAACTCTTTGTGATAATTCCCATGTCGTTTTAAATAATGCTTTTAATTCGTCAGGAATTCCCTGGATTTTCTGTATGCTTCCATTATCCGCAATAATTCTATTTTTCATATTGTCATTCCACAAATTCAAATCTATCAAAT